ATATATATATATATATATATATATATATATACACACATTCTCGAAAATGCAGAATGTATACTTGTACGTAGGTTGACACACGCGCGAGCACGCACGCACGCACACACGCGAGCACGCATTCACGCATGCGCACACACATAATTGTTAGCGACAACGGGAGAGCAAGCAAGAGAAAACGAAGAGCCGAAGATTCGCGAACGGGGATCTCGACGGACAGCCCAGCCCGATAGAGGGAGCTGCGTGTACGGTGACGGATGGATCATACATTGCGTGGATCATACATCATTTATATTCAGTTGTGTATATTGTTCCGCTTGAGCTCCAGGCGCGATTCGCCCTCCGTGGTAAAATTTATCCCGTCTGATTTAAATTCTCCCTATCATAAATTATTTTAATGAGCACATAATTCATATAGAGAAACATGATTGAAAACATATTCCAATTAAAACGATTCACATTAAAGTTATTATAATGAGCTGAATGACAATGAGAGAGTTAAGAGGTAAACACGACATTACACATACCCGTAAGGTAAATACAATGTCAAACAGCGCCTCGTATCTTCGTACGTCAACATATGCGGTTAGTATTAGAAGACTAACGTCTAAACATGTGCATTTAGATCATCTGCAATTATCCCGCGTTCTGAAATACTGTTCGCGTGTTTGCGCCTTTCGCAACACTAATCGTGATGTAATCTCGAAAAACATTTAAATTGCGGCCATTTGAAATACGAATTTTACGTCAACAGGTTACGTTATTATTTCTAAGAAAATGAATTTCCAATTAGCAATCGCGGTTCCCTGCAATTTCGTCGCACGTGTGCTTGTAGCGAAATTCTGCCTAATTGCGATACGTTGACATTTAAAGGCTGGTCAAAGAGTTCATTGCTCATCAGCCCAAGCCTAGTCTAGCATTTCTTCTGACGACGTGTTGATCTGATTGAGAAATTACGAGGAGTTATATGGCATGCAGTGCGTACTCGCCGTAACAAACGACGCTAGCGTCTAAATACAATATATAAATAGTATATAT